AGCGAGTTCACGAGATTTTCGAGAAGCCAACCTTTTTGAAGAACGTCAATGGCGGAGATGTGAAGCAGGGGAGCCTCGGGGACTGCTGGTTGATGGCTACGCTGACTGCCCTTGCTAATGTCGAGGGCGGTATTCAGCGCATCTGCGTTGAGTACGATACTCGCATCGGCATCTACGGCTTCGTCTTCTACCGGGATGGCGAGTGGATCTACTCCATTATCGACGACAAGCTGTACCTGAAGTCTCCTTGCTGGGATTCGCCTAGTATGCAGCGGGATCTTCTCCAGCAGATCGACCGAGAAGACGTTGAGCGTGTCTACCGCAAGACCTATCAGACCGGATCCAAGGCCCTCTTCTTTGCTCAGTGCAAGGACCAGAACGAGACCTGGGTGCCGCTGATTGAGAAGGCTTATGCCAAGGCACATGGCGACTTCGCCTCGTTGGCTGGAGGTTGGATCGGCGAGGGCTTGGAAGATCTCTCGGGTGGTGTCACCACCGAGCTGCTTACATCGGATATCCTCGACCTCGAGGGCTTCTGGGAAAACGAACTTGCCAAAGTCAACGAGGAGTTCCTCTTCGGCTGTTCTACCGGTCTCTTAGACGGAGGCTATGGCGAGAGAAATGGCATCTCGGAAGGCCACGCATACGTGATCATGGAAGCTAGGACGCTCAAGTCTGGAGAGCGTCTGATCAAGCTGCGCAACCCTTGGGGCAAGATTCGCAAGGGTGTATGGGAGGGTGCTTGGTCCGACGGCTCCAAGGAATGGACCATGGAAGTTCAAGAGGAGCTTGGCCACCACTTTGGCAATGACTCTGTCTTCTGGATCAACTACGACGACTTCCTACGCAAATTCCAACATATTGACAGAACCAGGCTATTCCGCGACCCCGCTTGGAGGTGCGCTCAACGTTGGATCGGCGTTGAGGTGCCCTGGAAATCCCAGTTCAACGAGAAATTCCAGGTCAAGTTGTCCAAGGATGGGCCGCTAGTCCTAGTCTTGACTCAACTTGACACGAGATACTTCAAGGGACTTCAGGGACAGTACGCTTTCCGCATCCACTTCCGGATACATGAGCGAGACCGCCCTGGTGCCGAGGACTATATTGTACGCTCCCACGGCAACTATCTCATGGACCGATCCGTCTCTATCGAGTTACCGGACATGCCAGCCGGAGAGTACAGCATCTTCATGAGTGTCACTGGTGAGAGGGACACTAACATCCCCTCTGTCGAAGATGTGGTCAAGCGTGAGTGCAAGAAGCGCGTTGAGAACGATAAGCTGGCGCAAATTGGTGCCGCGTACGACTTGGCTCATAGCAAAGGCACTGCGCACCTCCAAGAGGTCGCTAGGCTGCGAAAGATCAAGGAGCAGCAGAGAGCCTCTGAATCTCGCCAAAAGGAGCGCCGCAAGCTCTGGGAGAGACGCCACACCAACCGCGAAGTCACCAAGCAGCAGACCAAGAAGAACAACGAGAAGCGCGACCGCAAGCGTGCCAAGAAGGCGGAAGCAGCCAAGGCTAAGGCTGACCTCGAGGCCGCTCAAAAAGCCGCCGCGGAAGCCAAGAAGGCCGAAGAAGCGAAACTTTTGGAAGACGCAGAGGCAAAGAAGAAGGATGCAGAGAAGCCCAAGGACCAAGCCGTCCAGACGGCAGTCACCAAGGAGGAGCCCAAGGAAGAGTCCAAGGAAGAGTCCAAGGACGTTGCTGCAGGTGACTCCAAGACAGATGGCACAAACGAGTCCAAGGAAGAGTCCAAGGATGAAGCCAAGAAGGACGCCAACGACGATAAGCCTGCAGACAAACCTGCCCCTTCCCCGGCTCCTACCCCTGCTCCCGCATCGCCAGCGCAGAAATCCTACGACTCAGATGGCGATTCGTCTGACTCGCCCATTGAAGACTGGGAAGAGTTGTATAGTGACGATGACATGGTCAGAAAGCCACGCCTGACTCCCGCTGGACCACCCAAAAGACATGACGAGCGTTACGAATCTGAGGAGGAGGGTCTGCCTGATCCCTGGAACGCTATCTGCATCGTCGGAGTGCGCGTCTACTCCATGGATGAGGACCTTGAAGTTCGTGTCGTCATGGAAGGTGGCGAGCTTCTCGAGGGTGGTATGGGCAAGAAGGGAGAAGCCGATATCGACAACGCCCAGGTGAACGCGGGCGGAGAGCGCGAAAGGCTTGAGGCTGATAGTGCAGATGCAGCGAAGCCTGATGTCAATGTTGTGATCCAGAAGACAGAAGAATCGACCGAAGACGCCAAAGATGACAAGGACGAGACGAATGAAGACTCAAAGTCGGAAAAGTCAGACAAGAACAGTGTCGATTCGACCGATTACGATAAGCTACATTCCGGAACTTCGACACCAGACGTCATTGCCACCCCGGAAGCTACCCCACTAGAGTCACACAAAGAGTTGTGCTAGAGCCTATTAGACCAGTGTAGACAGACGACGTACACGAGGGGAGACGATGGCATAGAGAAGATGTGCTCATGTTGAAGATTCTCTTTGCTTTCATGGTGTCGTTTATTTGGTTTAATCCCCGACCCAAGGGTCGACGGATAGCATGAAGGGCGTTGACATTGCGAGCGAGACCAAGCAGCCATATGCAACTGCGTTCTTTGACATGGTCTGGAGTTCAGACTTAGCAACGTATATACATGCTTGATGGTTAAATACAGCCCACTGTTCCTATCACCTATAATGGGTACTATCACCTCATTTCAAGTCGGCAGAAACATACTCATCATCACGCGCAATGCTGCCTGAACCTTGCACTGATTGATAGGAATCCATTTCCTAATGAATTAGAATCACACAGTAGACACTTTTCAATGAGGCCAGACTTTCAGGACTCGGCGATGTGATTGACGGCAAGGAAGCCATGCGTCATTGCAGGACCCAAAGTCGATCCAGCTCCCAGATAAGTCCGCCCCATGATGCTCGCCGCCGTGTTACCAATAGCATACAGCCCAGGAATCGCCTCGCCGTCCTCCTTTAGTACCCTTTGATGCTCATCAGTAACGAGGCCACCCTTAGTGCCCAAGTCTCCTGGCCAAATGGCGATAGCATAGAACGGTGCCTTGCTCAATGCTCCCATGTTTGGGTTTGGCCCGCCAGCGGCGGGGTCACCGAAGAAGTTATCATATGCGTTGTCACCCTTTCCAAAGTCTGCGTCAACGCCAGTCTTGCACATGTCGTTGTACCTCATGATGGTTCCTTCCAGACCTTCAGCGTCGACTCCAATCTGCTTCGCCAAGTCTCTCAGAGTGCTTGCCGCGAACATTGTTCCATTCGCAACCGGCTTCTTAGGTTTCATTCTCGCGAACAGCTGAGTGCCAAGCATGTATCTGTTCCGGTGGTTCGTATCCATAATCAACCAGGCTGGAATCGCCTTGACAGACTTGTTCCTCTCATATTGATCGTGTCCAGCATCCGTGTAAGACTGCGCCTCGTTCATAAATCTCTTCCCGGCGTTGTCGACGATGATACAGTGCGGTCGAGATCGCTCTATAAGCGCAAAGTGAGGTTTGCCCGTCACCGGGTCGAAGATGGTCGGCCCCCACCACGCATCATCCATCAACGCCGTCGCCGCGCCGAGTTTCTGCCCCGCGATGACAGCGTCGCCTGTGTCGCTTTTGGGCGAGTTGGTCCATGACGTGCTGGCTGGGGTCGGACCGTACTTCTCTCGGAGAGGTTTGTTGTGCGCGAAGCCACCTGCTGCAAGGATGACGGCCCGGGATGCATTGATGGTCTTGGTGGTTCCATCGGGGAGTTTGACTCTTGCGCCGGTTACTTTTCCTGCTTGGGAGAGTGTGAGATCTAGGAAGGAGGTACGTAGTCGGATGTCGGTTGCGTGTTTGATGTTGAGGTAGAGAAGCTGAGCGATGAGTCCGCGGCCTAGGCTGACGAGTTTCTGTCCAAGAATGGTTTTACAGACGATGGGTAGCATGATTCGGGTCGACTTGATGAAAGCTTGGAGAGAAGCCGTCATCATTGTGATCCATGGTGCTTGCTCACCGTGGATTGCCACGGGTATGTTTGCAGGCGGCAGCGCAGCTTGCCATTTTCCCAGCTTCCTAGTATCAAAAGCGACAGACTCGATAGTTCTCCCACCTCCTTTCCCCATGGCGCCCTTCGTCTTGGGGTAATAATCCGGATACCTCCTACTAAATCTCCATTCAAAACCAAGGTCTCTTAGGAAGCAAATCATCTGTGGCCCATTATCTAGATACGCCTTGCGCTTCGCCAACGACGACACCGGCCCGACGTCTCCGACGGCTCGATCAAAGTACGCGAGGGCATCTTCTTTGGAGTCGTTTATGCCTGCGGCTTTGGATATTGGATTTGCTGGGATCCAGAGGCCTCCGCCTGAGATCACTGACGCGCCGCCGAGTGTTGCTTCCTTTTCGATGACAACGGGGTTGAGGCCGAGGGTTCGGGCGCGGAGGGCGGCCGTTAGACCACCGGCGCCAGAGCCGACTATGAGGATATCTACTTCTTTGTCTGCTGTGGGCGATGTTTCCTCGGAGAGGAGGCGTTTCAGTTGGAGTTGGAGGACTGGTTGCCAGCATCGTAGTGAGATACTCGGTGTTGGTTGAAGGCGTGCAAGAATGATACCTCTCACCACATTGGAGCGCATCATGTTGAACCGATGTCGCGAGATGAGAGTCTCAGTGAGCCGGTCACAGAATCATAGGATGAACGCAAGAGAAGGGGAGCAGGGCACGAAGAGTAAGCAAGCGAAGGATCGAGAACCATGTGCCTGATGCCACTGATTGTCCGATGCATTTCAACTGAACCATAAGCAGTAATCAGTGAGCACGACGGATGTCCCCCGCTTGAAGCGACAGGGGTTGTCAAACCAAGGTCTCCTCTCCTTGGCCTGCAGGGTGTTTCTTGAACCAAGACACCCCCTCAACGTTCGTGTAGCTCTTCCTAGAACCCTCCACTTCGGATGATTCGGGTGGGCAGTAAAGGCGGTGATTGCACTTGAAAATGGGGATCGCGACCGTCCGGGGCAACGGAGTCACGAACCCCAGTATTGCGGCCGAGGGTCCGGAGCTAGAGCCGTCAGGTGCAGAAGAGTCCACGGGTTCCGCGGTCTCCACGGCGGCCGGTCGATCGGACGAACATCTTGTGCTTAGAGAGAAGCTCACCATACCGAGTCTTCTGCCGGCAATGGAAATTATCGATACCGAGGTACTTAATGGGCTCTTGGCAAAGGCCGTCGTGAACTGGGACGCCGTAGAAGCGATTGAGAGTTGAATACTTGGGTGAAAGTTACTTGGCTATACGCGTCCGGAGTCCGCGTTCAATCAATATGTGGTGGGTTGCATCCGGGGGTCAGAGAGCTTACGCGTTCTCTCGGCCGAGGGTATCAGGTGTACCATGCCTTGTATCTCCTGCCTTCTAGACTCGCCACCGTCTATGTCACTCATCTTGTAAGTAATTCGTGATATCCATAGCCTGAAAACTCTATGTGTGACTGTGCTGTGATGTCTATGCGGACTCTAATTTCTGAATGAATACTGCACTACTCCGTCGTGATGCGACCTAAGACGAGCAAAGCAGCAAGATAACAGCTGGCTGAAATAAGGTACGGGATGCCGAGAGCTGCGCCGCCGATCGCTATGCTCTTCACCCATAGGACCATCATCAGTGGTGCGCCTAAAAGCGATCCTGAAGTCTTGACCATCATCACAATCGAAAATATGTGTGACTCTGGGTCCGCGGAGTTGACCGGCTGGTCGTGTCTCTTTGGTGAGATGAAGGGAGACTTGAGCAGTGATAGCGTGAATACCGGCAGCGCCGAGCCGAGAGCGTAGAGAAACAGTGAGGGTACCATCATCCAGATCCGGCTCGCTACAGCAATCGCCAGAGCACCGAGGATAGAGACAACCAAGCAGATGTTGGCGTAGTGTATGTTCATCCGGTGACTGGCCAGCTCAGGCGGAATATGCCGCATCCTATCCTGTCTCGACCGAAGAATGGCGGGGATGATGACCGTCAGGAGCGTGAAGTTGACGACGGCTTTGGCGGAGAGGAGATAGCCTGTAGACGCAAACGTCCAGTGATAGCGTTTCGAGATGTATTGCACAAGCAACTTCGTGTCCGAGCTTGCGAGCGAGGTGAAGACAAAGCTGATGAGCAGGAGGGTCATGTTGCGAGGATGACCTGCGACGATAGACTTCAAGACGCCGAAGCGCTGGAGGATGGATCTCAGAAGGGATGAATCGGCGTCTTGAGCTTTCAGCACAGGGGATGAGTGGAGAGGTCTCGCTTGGTCGTCCGCGTCAGGGTGGCTGTCAGGTGATTCCTTCAGGAGGGAGATAGCGGGAATGGCTAGAAGAAGGAGAGCGATTCCAATCCAGAACGGAAGCCAGAGAAGAAGACTCATAGATGCTGATGCGAGAGCTGGGCCAAGCAAGTTGACGACATACGACACGGAGCCCATCCATCCGAAATACGTGGCCCTGTGTCACCTTAGTTAACCAGGGTAATGCGCGAGGTCAGGTCGATGGCCTACTCACCTCAGGACGTGGTCGTCTGTCATGTTGGAAGCTATGGCATATGTGATTGAGTTGAAAACACAATCACCGCCTAGGACCGAGAAGAACGGGGATGCGATCATGGCTTTGGTCGGCAAGGTCTGCTCAAAGTACCCCACGATAACGGCCCACGTCAACAAGATGATGCGGGGCACAATGTTGAGGCAGAGGATGGACCGCCGGCCGTACCTCTCCGCGAGGAATCCCAACGGAACCGTCATGATGAAGTCTGGATAGACGTCAGTCGAAGAGCGAATGCCTGCCAGTGAGATTCTGCGCGCTTACCACCCACGATCCACGCCGTTTCCATAGTCCCTTGAATCCAGGCAAGACCCTGCTGCACATCGTCCACCTTGCAAAAACCTTCTGCAACATTGCCATCTTTGTCGATCACCGAAGGATCTGTGACCGCGTAATGCTCGCGGCAGAGGCGGCGTTCAATGACTCTGCTGAGGGGAAGCTGGTAGAGACTGGCGGCCAGATTGACCAGGAGTACTAGTGCGAGGAGAGCCCAAATGCCACTTCTGCGCGGTTTGCGGGAAGACCTCAGATTAATGGGATCATCATGTGCATGGCTAGCATTCACAGGATCTGGCGAAGGAGGCATGGTCTACTCGACCCTACTATATCGGTGGTTGACTGATTTGGTTTGATGAGGAAACCAAGACGATTCAGCGAACTTCTGGAATGGCGCCCATGAATGATGACTAAGCTTGTTTACGGGCATCGCGCCGCCGTGTGTTTTCACCACGATTCTTCAAGGTACATGTGACTACTCTACACGCATTTCAATGTGTTTTCTCTAATTCTAGTCATGACTCGAAGCATCATATGCTAAGAACCGGCAGAAGACTACGGACTGCGGCAAGCAGAAGTTGTCAGGACTGTAATCATATTGTCACTGTCTGCATTCACTCATCTCCCGCCAAAGTACGCAATCCCTGCTGAAGGAGGTGAGAGTAAGCGCAGACTTGATGCCCCTGGAATATGAACTCCTATAGATGACCATATCTTGAGGCAGGGTTTCCGACCGCGCATCCAAGTCGGCGTTGAAATCTTCGAACCATATTTCAGGTCGATGTGCAGTCCCGCCATCCGTTTCTTCCAGAATGCGTAACTCGCGCAAAGAAGATGGAAGCGAACCCAACAAATCCTCGGGCCGCACAGTCTCGATGCTCATGGTAAGAGATTCGAGTTTGTGGAGACTCTTCAGCTTTGCAAAGGGAAGAATCTTGCCAGATATCAATATGAGACTCGTCAGAGTGTTACGATGCTTTGCAATGGCCTCCATGATGGATGCTTCTCGTGAGAAGCCATTAAAAACAAGCTCTAGATGGCGCAGCATGGTAAAGTTCGAGGTCATCGATTGGAAGTGCCGTGCACTGAGATTGGTACGCCGTAGAATGAGACTGGTGAGGTTCGGCGGAAGGGTGAAAACGGACATAGGGTCGTCGCAAAGATCAAGCCGAAGTCCTTGAAGGTTTGGCGCGCAGTGCAAAATAGACTTGAACTCGTCCATAGTACTGAGGCCTGGTTGCATCAAGTGAAGGTGTCGAAGATTATTGAAGAGGATTGGCTTAGTTGTCTTGTTCGGCTCGGGGATCATGTCAAAGGGTTGTCGATAAACGCCGCGTTTGGGTTCAAACATCAACTCAACGGATTCGGCGTTCTGTGCCAGTAACATGGCGACTTCCACAAAGACGTTGATGTTCCAGTCATACTCGTACCAATCGGTTCGTATCTCGAGACCTACATCTTGGATGATGCCAGAAACGAAATCGGCATCTTCAAGATCAATGAGACGCGTTACTGCACGGTGGGAATACCCTTCAAGGCGTTGTGATCTTGCCTCAATTGTGAGTCTTCGGGTGTACTGAGCGCAGTGAGGCCGTGCTTTCCAACACTTGAACAGTGATATGAACTTCTTTACACTCGCATTTGGAATGTAAATGTGTCGGTGAAGGACCGGCTCAGCAATCTCACGGAGACAGCGGCATGTCTGGCAGAGTATAGCCGACGTTGGGTTGGAGTTGAAAGGAGGGACGTAAAACTCCAAACTAGGTGGTTCTGGTGGGTTGTCGGCGAGTTCGGCTAAGACCTGTTGCAAAACCTCCAGTGGGAGAGACAGTAATGATGCCATCCCTTGGAAGTAGGATCTCAACGATCAAGGTCAAGATCCGGAGCGAAACAGAGCCCGTACGTATGTGTGCTCCTTCGCCGGCGGCAAAGACTTTGTGCCAACTAAATGTGATTATTGATGGCTGAGATGTTGCTTTCTATGACGGTTGAGGTGAACACTGAGAAAAGAACAGAGGGATCATACGAGAGGGCTGCAATCAATTTTAAAGGTCTCATTTCGAAGGATTCATGGGCCCCTCTGCCAAGCTGAAAGTTGTTGGTTGATCCCAGCATGGCTAATACTCCGGTGTCTGCTCTAATCAGCTGCCCGATTCAAGTGGAGCATCGTCAGGAGATCGCTTCCCCGGCTTCAACTATCATAGGTGGAGAGTGGATGCACGTAGCCGTGCCTAGTGGGCTCATTGTGCATGGCCAGACCATGCATTTCGCCGCAATTGGGGGTTCGGATCCTGCAAGTGACATTGCCATCCACGGTTCTGGGAATTAAGTCCTAGTCAAGCTCTTTAGTTGCGGGTGTGAATGACTTCAAATTTGAAATTTGAATTGTTAGTAAACTCGATCCTGTGAGTTGTAGATAGTGGTTATCCTAACACAAGTTAGGGTGGGTGCCCGTGCCGCCCCCGGAGTGCTCAAGCCGTAGGTCGGGTATCACATCAAGTAAAACTCCGGATCTGAGGGCGGAGGGTCGCAATTCTCAAGACAGCATTAGCCAAGCATGAATCAATCAGGCTGTTCATTCAGGGTTTTGATGTCCGCATGTTGGCAAGTTATTCAAACTTGTGAAGTCTTGTTTCCTCGAATCTACAAAGGCAGTGCAGTTTGTTTCTATTGACGCCTCGGCCATCCACTATTATGAGTTAACATGGGTCGGGTTAGTTAGTGAACACTCCCGAAAGGGGAAGCTCGGGGACGAGTTTCGATGTTGAAGAATAACTGTCAACAGCATATGCCCCAAGATCATTTCCCCGAAAACTTCCACCGCAACACACTTCACTCCAGAAGAAACCTCGGTATCAAGTTACTAATACTGACCGATCAAGTGATTACGAAGTGGCCTATTTAAGGGACCCGATTCTCGGGTTGCGTTCAAGACTAATTGACACTTCTCACAACACATCACCTTGACTCTAGATCGCATCACCATTCTTCCAATCGCTTCGAACATGACATCCCCTCATCTATCCAAGATGTCACCGTCGCGCAGCTTTATTAAACCAGGCATTGCTGGCCTCACGACCGTAGCTCTCATCGGTTCATACTTTCATGAACTCCCAAAGCGTGAAAGCATGGATTTTACCGTCGACCCGACCTTCGATCTTCCTCGACCACCAACAGATCTTCCATACAAGAAGACCAGCAATATCATTTGCATGGTCTCAATGACGGCAATCGGGCTTTCAGCAGTTCTTCTCGGCGCAAGAGATGCTCTACGCTCCCGCACTCTTTTGCCTTTAGTTCTTCCACTTAGTGGCGCAATGATTGCGTTCCCCGAGACTTTCATCGACGTCCTGGGATGCATTTACTACCCATGGACCGACCAGAATGCTTCCTTGCACATTCTTGGTCGTGAGATGCCGCCGTGGATACCAATCTGGTTCGGATACGCCTCGTTGATGCAGATGAACCTCCAGCTTTTGACCAACAAGACGTCGACGAGGACTCTGTGGTATTTCTTAGGCCTGATGATGGTCTCAGACCTCATTGTGGAGGAGATTCTCCTGCCAATGGGAGTTTATCACTACTACGGAAACCAGCCACTGGTTGTTATCAACAGATTCCCTTGGTGGTGGATGGCTCCCAACTCCATTGGCGTCTTTCTTGCCACAGCGCTCGCCTACCGGTACCGATCTTACCTCGTGGGCTGGAAGGTTCTCGCTGTTCTGTTTCTGACTCCGATGTCGGTTGGTGGTATCTACGGCTTCATCTGCTTCCCGGTCTGGGTTGCCATTAACGGGGACTACGGCTGGCTCGCGACTCAACTGCTTGGACTTTTGACAATGGCCCTGGGTTTCGTAACATTTGCTATCATTCTAGAGATGGTACTTGGCAAGAGCCCATTCAACTTGGACTCGAAAGATGACTCAAGCCGTCTGCCTAGGACCTCCGACGAATCCTCGGACGATGCCTTCCACGACGGCGAGTTCTGAGCATTCGTGCGTTGCTCCCTATGCACACAACTCAAGCAATCACGTATGACGAAGCGCGTTTTGATCGAGCCAAAAATAACCGCACTCTCACTTCGTTTAGGTTGATTTCAGATTGATACCACGCTTGTACGATAATAAAGACAGAACTTGGAACATTGCAGCTCAGGTCGGGTATTCTTGGAAATAGATAAATTCTTAGAAGATATGACCCAAGTAACACCCGCTACTGGTTGCCCTCATTCCGCTTCTGCACCCAGCTATCTGCCAACCCTCTTGCATATATTTCCTCCTGGCTCATGGAAGGTCGAGTTACGGGGCTGGGGGCCCTCATTTCTCCTCTTCCTCCGCGAGCTTCAGATGCCCTTATGGCGGCTTGAACACTTCCCGAAATTTGTCCAAGAATCTCTGGAGTTGGCGGCAGTGTAAATCGGGCTTGACGGTAGACATCCATTTCAGCCCCAACAAAATCGTACGGACTGACTCGACTCCAAAGGTCATTTGAATCCCGGATCCTATCCCGAGTCCTACGGCATCGAAAGGGTGAGTGAAATAGTGGTCTTTGCGTTCGAGACCGATGATCTGAGGGTATGGTGAGTTTGGGGGAAGCAACATCAGGCTTCCATACATTCTGTTGACTTCTTCAGTCTTTTCACGCAGTCGCAATATCATATTTGGTCCGTTGCTTGAAGTTTCTGAACTCGACAGATGGGACTCACTGCTGCTGCTGCTCGCCTGAGCATTGGTGCTAAAGGTATCGCCTACTAGATACCCGTTAGAACCAACTCTAGTCTTACGCGACAGTGCGCTTCTCAGATGAGCTGGCATGTATTCTAGAGGCACAGCAACTCGATGGTTACCCCATTGTTGACAATCAAAGCCGATGTTCGCGGCTTCAGCATTGTTCGGCTCTTGAATACGCGCGTCGTAAACCTTCTCGCAATGAAAGCGGTGGAACCAGCGGACATGCGGACAGCGGCCTTCTGAGCTAACTGCAGGGTTGAAGACGGTTTCGCGCGGTTCGTGTCGAACCCATGCAGGACAACGGAATCAATTGCCCCTGACATCGACGCTTAGTACATGTCCTTGCCCTGGGGCGAAGACCTCTTTCGTCAAAGAATGCTCATTGGTATGCAGGCAGGCGATGTTGCCGCAAGGATAATAGTATATGATTTTGAGACGTTGACACATGCTGATGGTGGTCGTTAGCCTGTGAATTGCGAGATATGGTGCGAAGACTTGGAAAAGTTGGACAATGTTGTGAACTGAAGGGTGACGTTTGCAAATTGTTTGAGGATGTTCTGGACCAACAAAAACGGGAAATATCGAGCTGCCATCATACTCTGATAGATGTGACTTCTGAATACTCTCTTCCGCTGTAAAGTCCTGGAGATAATTGTTCTCCAAGTGATCTCGATACCGACAAAGACAACATCGAGTCCTCCTTTGTCAGCATGCACTCTTTCTTTCCAGAGCCTTGAGAGAGTTGCCGGCCGTCGAGTCTTGACCGGGGACCTTTGAACAAGGAGGAATAAGAAGGGATTGTTCTGCCGAGATAAAGATATACACGAATACGTTTTTCAGACTGGGATGTTCATACCTTACAAGTTACCTACTTACAAAACTCATGTTGCTGGCAAGCAATCATAGGAGCCAACGAAGGTAACAGATCATAAGGTAAATCACGTCACAATCAAGCGTTGCGGAGTTTACCAATCCATCTTATCGATGCTTCTTCGATGAGTCACTCAATGTTGTCTCTATTAATCTTTAAGACTAATTATTGCCTGGTCCTTTGAGGCGGCAATTTTGGGTATCGCATGTCCTTTTCCCGAATACTCCATGGTACCAACGCCAAATGCAAGCAAGCCAATACCTCAGAATCCTATGAAGAAGCCACCGATGACCTTCTTTTCTCAAAGCCGTGTACACACTGTTCAGTCTCCGTTCTCAGAAGACACTTCCCCAAGGCCGTGAGTCGCGAGATCTTCTCTCCCAGCTTCCTCTTCTAGGTCGACGGCGCTCCTCTCGTCTCAATCTCTCATACTCGTCCCGCTTGGCGAGCTCAGCAAGAAGAATATCCTTTTGCTCTCTCTCGCCGGCGAGTATCGATTGAAGGAGATCAACCTTTTTGATAAGCTCATCCACCTTGATGTGATCGCCCTTAAGCTTTCGTTCGAGCTCCTCGATGGTACGGACGAGCTTCTCGATCTCGCGTTGTCGTCCTTCGTGAATGTGATGATTGTTTCGCTCGATGCGCAACTCATCCTCGAGAATCTCGACTTTGCGTACGAGATCTGCGATTTGTCTAACGTATTCATCCGACTTTGGATGTCGGAGTCGCTCCTCTGCCAATAAAACCTCGAGATCATCGATTCTACGGCCGAACTCGATCGCTTTGCGCTCCCAATGCTCGCTTCTCTTGACTTCTCTATCCAGATCTAGCAATAGGCGAGCGTTGCGATCTTCGAGTTCCTTTCGCCAGATGCGGTTGTCGTCTGGTGAAATGAAAGTGGTCCGCAGAATGCGAATCTCTTCTCTGCTTTCGTTCAGCCTAATGAGGCATTCATCGTAATCTCTGATCAGCTTGTCGTAACGAAGTTGCATATCATCGAAATGTGGATGGTGGTGATCGTGATGCTCGTGAATATGCTCGTGTTGCCGTTCTCTCAACCTCTTTTCGAGGTGTTTGATGCGATCGAAGAGATCGCCTCTTGAGTGCTCGTAGCATATCCTGTCGGCAGTAACGTCGCAGTAGTTGATACAGCCATCGATCTTGCAGCAATGATCTGCACAGTAGCCAAACTGCAGTCTGGCAATCTTGCGACAGCCAGGTCTCTTGCACTCGTGATCACCACAGTACTCTCCTCCCTTCAGGCACGGCTTTTCGCAGCTCTTCCAGTGGCATCGATGTTTGTGACAGTGGACACCGAACTCGGATACCTCGTTGCAGCCAGCTATCGTGCAAGTGTGTCTCCGGCAAAAGGGACGAAAGCCACCCCCATCGATAGCAACAGCGACAGCGTAACATCTCGATGCGCCGCATCCGTGGTCTCGACAGAACACTCTCTCCTTGTCAAGCTCGTTGTCTCGGAAATTGACACACCCCTCGAATGTGCACTTATGGATGGCGCAGCAGCGAGTGCCAGGTATCGTCAGTTTGTCGCAGTCTTTGTACGTGCAGCGGAATTCACCATAGTCTGACTTCTTGTCAGTTCCTCGAACTACTGGGGATGTGAGTAGTAGGTAGTTGACTCACGGTGTTCGCAAAAGTCCCAGAGACCGCCATCTGGACGTCTGAAGCGGTGGAATTTGCAGTTCTTGACGATGCACCGTTGATGATTGAAGCAACGATGGTCTGCGTATATCACCTCTCGACAATTCAGCTCTCGGCAAATTCGCGAGTGGTGGTCGGCGCAGAACTCGGAGTTGGATACCCTCCTCTCGAAGCAGCTTCCGACTCGGCATCGATGGTCGACGCAGTAGCCATACAGCTTGTCTCTAGTCTTGTAACAGTCCTCGACGAAGCATTTGTCTATTCAAGATACATGTCAACGTCATAGTTTCGGATGTGGTGTAAGTGGGTAGACTCACGGTCCGGACACATCCACGGGAGTGGCACATTCGAGGGGCAATCTCCGGTCCGAACACAGCCCACCACTCCGCATCTCCGGTCTACTCTGAATATTAGGAATTATCGCAAAACGAGAGTGAGGAGTAATCTCACGTTCACTGCAGAAACGATGCTGGGGGTCCTTGGGACGGTTGCACATTTCTAAGCCGAGCACGCAGAATTTGCATGTATCTGGGGAGGGAGTATTAGCTTCTGCGATCTGGGTCTAGAGTGGCATCTATACTTACGATCAACGCAGAAATCAGAGTAAATTCTGATATCCGGTCTCAGGGGATCGTTGCGAATGAAAGCATGTTTTCTGGAGCAGCCGTCGACATGGCACGTTCTTTCGTATCTGTACTCTGCGCAACTGTCGCAGCTGCACCTCGAGGATCTTGACGAGTGCCTCGAAGATGAAGACGAGGACGAGAACGACATCGTGACCATACTCTAGGGAGGCAAAAGACACTTTATGCCCTGCTAATGCGACTTTGGATCGATCAGTCGCTGAGTCGGGTGCCTGAAGCAAAATGCCGAACCTCCGGGTTTTGTTGGTGTCAGTATTGGTTTTGGTGGTGATGCAGGTTGTAAGTTGCAAGTAGGTACACTAGCTGCAGGTACCGAGCGAATGTGTGGAAGAGGAAAGAGGAAAAGGAAGAGCTGCAGGGGAAAGGCTGCGCGAGGTCTTTTGAGAGAAAGTGCAGTTTGAAAGGAGGTCAGAGTGAATGTGAGAGAATATGTCCGGGTGAAGGAAGCCGAGTGGAACAAGGGCCCCGTGAGGCGTGACAATAGCTTCATCCCAACTTTCTGTGAGGTGGTGTGGCTCAGCTTTATCCAGATACTCCCAGGTAAAGAGAAACGCTCGGCCACGCGACCTGCATTTATCGTTGTCCTACCCCTCCATGCCCTCTCACCTCTTTTGGCTTTTTGCCAATTCCAGGCTCTTCATCGTAATTGTAACTTTTCGGCGAAGGTGAGAGTCTAGCAAACCAACAAGCCAATAGGAAATTGTTATTCTCGTCAGCGGAAGCGTCATCTGAAGATGGGAATGGAATTCCTATTGGTTGCGTCTATAGCGTTTTTGGCACGCTCCCAAATTCCGCATTTGTAAATGGAAAAACCCGCGCAAAGGTGAAGTTGACTCATCGTAAGGCAGCTTCCGACATTCACTACTTTGGACGAGGCAGCCCGGATTCAGCCGACGGTTGCGAGAACTTCATTATGCCTCTTCGTACTGTCGCAACATTGACAAGCCAGGTGTCGCCTTGCTCTTCTCGATACCCGGAGTGAAGTTGAGAGTTGTGGAGACCAGCGGATGCGACACCAGATGCAACGGCCGACGGTGAAATGGTAAGATCCACATCTTCGGTAGAGTCTAGAGACGAAAGTGAGCTGGCCAAGGGGACAGACGCCGGACAAGACGTAGACGAAACGAAGCTAGGCTGACAGCTGGTCGGCCTGGGCCAAGCGAAGAAGTTTAAACGATGCGCGATAGCGGGATGCAACCGGAGCAGTGCGAGGGAGGCCCCGGGGAACGAGATCCAAATCGAAAAAGGCTTGCATGGATGACGCTGGTAAGCACCAGCCACACGTGGCCCCCTGGGGCTAACTGATGGAGGGCGAGAGCTCGCTCAAGGGTCTCAGATAATCACATGGTGGAGGGGGGAGGAAGTGGCATGCGCCCTGCAGACTAAGACACTAGGAGAACACAGGAGGAAGCGCAAATGTAGGATCTGACTGGATGATGGCGTCAAGGGGCCTCAAGCTAACGCTGCATTCTGCCATTTTTGTTCCGGGAAGTGTCCTGAAGAGAACAATGGAAGAGAAAACTACTTTTGGAGTGTTCATCAGCCACCTCACAGGAAGCCCCCACGCCGAGCTCTTTGACAATACATGTACTTGATGTATGTTTCTCCAAAGACAGCTGAGCATTAGCTGCAGCTTGGTGAAAGTTCAGGTCGTTAATCTTTCGGCTTTGAGTCGTCTTTGCAGAGAGATTCTGGTCCAAAGAAGGACGCCTTGACCTCCAACACCACTAACAATCAGCCGACAAAAGCCGCGATCACTGAGAGCCAACCTGTCAATACAACTTCAAAGATCATTTCAGTTGCCCCGCCTTTCACTAAGAATTACAATTCATATTGAACAAGAGGAGAAGTAAGGTTACGGGTACAGCTCTACGGACGACTGCCCAGCAAAGTGATTCAAGGCGCATTGCTCGTAAAACAGACAGTCCTCCGGACCGGTGCGAATGTCAAAGCGCTCGAGTGTTTCTCGGAAGTAACGAAAGTAAGCAAAAGGGCTCAGGGCCTATTCTGCTCTTTGCTCGCCTATTCGCCTTTAATTCTCCGCCTACCAAGGGCGAGAACGCCAAGGACCTGCAGACCCTTCCTTCACATGTCCGAGAACTAGGTCGAGTTGGGGTTGAGAAGAGCCCAAAGAACGCTTAATTGACTGACAACCCATTGCGACACTTGACAAGTACTGGCGTCGGACCGCTCCATTCGCAGCTCCCCACAGACCCTTTCAGACTCCGGGCCCGACAACTTGACCGACGAGGTCCTCAAGCACAGACGCAGCCTTACGCAAATCCGGAGCTTCGCCATACCACCGCTGCAGAGCCCATGTGGCCGCGTCGACTCCCTGTTTCCATCGCTCGGGCAGCCGAGAGAACCTGTTGCTCTTGACTGCGGCCAGAAGTAAGAGAGCACGGGTCATTGCCGCTCTGGCCATGAACCATGTTCCGTGATGGCGGTGGTGAGGGTTAGCGTCAAGCAGCAGCTCGAGTGAGAGCTCGAGGCACTTCTCTGCTAATGGCATGACGCGGGGTATCCAAGGGTCATCCGCCGGTTGGTGAACCACATAGTACAAGAAAGGCCGATGGATCCATTCGCGGCAGCTCGTGGCTCGGTTTTGGATAAAGTGTACCAGCTCGTTGTTTGATGGTTCTCGATTTTGCCAATGTATCTGAGAGGGTATGTGCAAGCACCTGAGCATGCATTAGCGAACGTTTCGGACCAAACACGAATCCGCGCCGGGCGATGTGGAGATTTTTTACCAGAGATTGATGTGCTCGTCAAATTCCTCGCTCTTCTCGAGCACTTTGGCTATGTCTCGGGTCCATGCCTGCTCTCCATTGTAACCAAATATCGATATAGCACGATTGATCATCCTTCTCGACGATATCTCAGCCAGGTAATAGAACCAACTCTTTTCCTCCTCTGGCTGGATATCATCTTCCAAGATATCTAACGCGCTTGGCTGAGCTGCAGGAGATGCGACTTCAGATGGAGGCGAGGGGAACAAGTCTGGATATCCTAGGCCAGTGATGCCACTTGGTGGCAATGGTATCTCACATCTGAGCTCGCTGAGTGTCGACAGTCAGCTGCCATAGGTTCGCCTTCAATCTTGAGGAGAAGGTTCCTGCTGGACTTACCATTCCGACTTCATGCATGACCAGTAAAGGCGTTGCTCAAGGCGCCGTGTCTTCTGAGAGATACTTTGCCAATTCCGCCTCTGGGCCCTCCGCCAGCATAGGTTTTTGAATTGAACGCTAGCTTGATTGAAGTAGAACCAGCCCTGAAGTGGACGAAGTGAGTACATCTCGAACACTGCACAGAAGAACAGGCATTGAATCTGAAGTAAGGAGGGCTCAAGTAGTCCCAGCCGCTTCTTGGCTGCGAGATAGTAGGCCTGGGCTGTATCTGGATCCGTCGTCGTCGATACTGACGAGCGCATCGATTCGGGCGTACTATTGAAGTTGATCTCGGATTGAAATGGGCTTGCAAGGCAGGCGAGTGCACATGCAATCAGCTCAACGGGAAGCTTCATCAGCATGGTAACGGTCGTGAGAATTTTGAACAGGCCGAGGACTCACGACTAGACACGACGGTCCGTCCCATCGGGGACCGTTCTCTACTGTATCCTTGACGTACGCTTTGAAGTCGGTCACGTCAAGAACTGGATTCTTCACATGCACGTATGCCAAGAACTTCTTGGACAGCACCGTAAAGTCGTCTTCCTGAACTCCCCGCCCTAGGTTCCGACTTCTGACAGGTTGAGATCGATGTGAAGACTCTGCGTCACCATCCTCTAACTCCAAAATAAAAGACTCCGTCTCGGGTGCATATCCCCTAAAGATTGGCCATCGCAGAATGGCCTCGCAATTAGATCTAGCAGCGGCAGAGTCTGGGATGTCGAGGCGGATCATGACTTCGTCCTCGGGTAGATCATCAGAAGGATGACTTAGATTCTCGTCAATAGTGACGCTTGTATTAGTTTGAGGCCCATGGATCGATGTTGGCGATAGTGTTGAGGGAATGGGGGGAGCGCTAACTACTTGCGCGGCTGGTAGTTCCGGACGAGTCTCAAGCAGAGAAACAACATGATTGAGGCGGTCCAAAATTGCCAAGCTCGCGGGATCGAATCTGTACTCTAAGTAAGACCGAGCCGGTCTGGAGCATTTCCTACAGGCACGAAGAGAGCACTCACGTTGAGAAGTCATTCGAGGTGTCGGGGTATGTACATTGTCCGCCGTTTCGCTGGCAAAAGCCGCATGCTGGCCGGACATTGTCACATTTCGTTTTACGGACCCGACAGGGCCCACACGCCGCAACAGCACGCCGTCTCTGGTACATGCCCGAGGTCCGGCGCCGCTTGTTGGACGTTTCAGGCGCCTCATTGCCTGCATCGGACATTGTGGGATGTTCCACAAGGCCTTCTGTGGGGTTGTAGATATACTGATACGGGTGAGAGATCTACCCAGATACCAAATTCGACAATGATTCGTTTTCGACGTGTTTGTTGGCTTGATGGAAATGGGTGACGATTCCCAAATGAGAAGCGCGGGGAGTAGCGGAGTTATGAAGGTGAGGAAAAGCGAAACCGATACCAGGGTCCACCCGACTAAATTAATGGGGATTTTCGTTGCTTTTGGCTAGCTCTCTCGCTGCTTTGAGGTGGGGTTCATTCACTGTGGCGGATGGTCTATAGACCATTTGGTGATACCGAAGGCAGTTTCCGCTTTCCAAAGAGCTTGGCGTCTCATCAGATGAGGTTGTGAAAATTTTTGCTCTTATTGATTTTTTGTTGCTTGTTGTGTAGCTTTAAATGGCCATTAAGAACCAGAAAGACCATAGGAGAGGGTTATCAGTCTCGAGTATTATTCCTACTGAATAACTAAACATCCTGTATTCTAGTCTCTGTGATTGTGCACCAAGTTCCGGTCCCTTTTACAGAATTTGACTCTGATTTCGGGACCTCGTATTTATTGGTTTGCGTTTCTTTCAAGACATTCTCAACTTTCCTCATTTACCTAGGCAGGATATGTAAAAATCAAAAGCTATTTTGGTGGGCAGGTCTCTTGAGGCCTCCCCGGGGGTATCGGTTGGATCTCCGCATGCTCAACGGTAACGGCTGTGACGATGTCCATCTGGATATACGGACCTTCCACAATGACTGGTAATGTATGATCGTGCACTTCAACCGCGCTCACTCTAGGCGTCTCGTGCATGTTGGCGTACGATCTTCCCCAGCCTCTCTGCCCGCCATGTTTCCACCACCACCATTCCTTGCGACCGCCGCTGGGAACAATACTTGGCTCAGGCACTCTTCTACTAACAGGACCACTGATGATTACAGTGTGTCCATAATCTCGTATTGGTGTTCTGACAAAGGCGAACTGGTCCAAGCCCGTATTATGTGCGTCTTGTGGCTCGCTAAACACAATGGTTGTTATCCATAGTATTGAGTTGAAGAGCCCGTTTGCGGCCAAGATGGACCCCGCGAAAGCAAAGTATAATATTCCAAGGTCAATGCCCAGTAGAGAAGTAATGCGGCCGATGATTAAAGGCGTGCTGCAAGCGACGTATACGAAAGGGTACGCAAGAAAGGCTGGGTGGTAGCCTGAGGGCCGTCGAACTTCCGGGCTATGACCGGGTTCGAACCCTGATTCAGAAGCTTCGCTTTGTGACGCTCTCTTTTCCGGCAGGTGACGACAACTTCGTTTTTGACGCCATAGAGTAAAGAAGACGAAGGAATAGAGGCTCAGTGTGAGGGTGATGGAGACGATGACCCAGAAATAGTGAGCCCAAAACCGCCACGATTCATACGATGTAGAAATCCAACACCTGTACCGATGTTGAATTAGTGTGAGAATTCTTGGGAGCCGGAGCTGCTATGATCAAAGCAAGGGAGTGCTAGATCTTAATTACCAGACATTGGCCCTCATGAAGAAAGACTCCTGAGGTACTGCTGGGTGGATCTCCGAAAATATTACGCCTGCTCCGTTGATACTAAAGTCGAATATCCAGAGGAACCCTATCGAAGTATAGATGGTCCACGGTGGTGGCTTATAACCCAAGCCTACTGTCAAAAAGGTGTTAATCGAAATAACCGCCAGGAATAGGCTTGCTGCCAAGTTACTGGTCGACCCCAGCCAGCCCTGAGCCCAGCAGACTGATGAAGGTGCAAAGATGCCGTCAGCTGAGACCCAGGATATACTGAGTGCGTAGGCAACAGCCTCCATCATGTCTGCTAGCAGGAGGTTATAAATGAGAATGGGGAAAGGATTACGAGCTTCCTCAACCTCTTGCTCTTCTCGATTCTCGGGAGCACTAGCAGCCTCTATCGCTTGCTCCTGTGACGTTGCTAGTCTATCGAGCTCCTCAATCCGGGCAAATCCGCTACTGCCCGGGCAAGGAGCATCTAGCCCTAGAGAGAGGTCCGGTAGATCGGTAACATCGGCATCTTGTGGTCGTGTACTTCGTTGCCTGGGGGCCGGGCGAGTTTTCCGGTATGCCAGTAACTTGTATGTGATGAAGAGCCAGAGTCCCGTTGTGGCTATGGCTGAGAGGAACGAGAAGATAGTGAGTACGATTAGTCCACGGCGGTGATAGTCCGGAAGTGGTGCCAGCGTCCCCCGTTGTGCCGCGGCTGACATGACAGTCTGACTTCCCAAAGAAGAAGGCCGTCGGTCAGGCTGTATCCCCTGGGCAGAATCTACGTGCACCCGCCACGTGGGACACATGAACATATATGTTCCTGTTTAGCTGGGCCTGACTTTCCCCTCAAATCCTCTCCGAAGTCAAAAGGAACACTTGACTCGTGCGTTACATTATTGCTCAAAGGCCCGTGGTCGAGAATGTCGAATTCGAGGTCTTCACAGTCCATGGAGGAGGTTAAAGCCGAAACTCTGTTCGACAAACGCCAATAAGGATAGTCTGTTCTGTGCGAGCCTACCCAACTTACGTCGTTACAAACTCTAAGCCCCGTGGCATATCCCTGGGGTGTTGTTTCACAGAACCTGATCTCGCGCTATGTAGTGCGAATCATAAACCAGATACAGGTTCTTCGCCAATGACGGAAGACTAAAACAGGCTGGAAGGCAGAAAATTGGGCCACTTGTAGATCTGTTCTGTGGTGCATCTCGAAGTCGATGAACAAGTCGCATGGACCACATCCGCGGAGATACGCGCCGCTCGGTAGACATGGGTTCCCAAGTGTTGGTATGCGTGGTGCCTGAACCTGACGTCCTCGTGGCGTGATAAGCATCATTCTTGATACACAAGATGGAATTGCTTGACTAGTGAATTTTCGATATGTGATCCGGGTGATCCGGTATTCCCAATAGCTGCATTACTCTAGTGAAGAATGGAGAAACAGATGTGCGTTCATGAGTCTAATACTGCCCGTTGATGTGCCTTTCTAGCCTACCTATGCCAACACGATACCCTGTCATTGAAGCCCCTTCATATGCTTTTTGATAGCCCGGAATCCAAACCATGTCATCGTAATACCGGTGAGAAAGATTGCAGACGAGGTCAAGGCCACCCATATCACGCTTTGCACGTAGCCCTTTGTCCAACCTCTTCTCGCTGCGCTCTGTAAATCATCGACGTTCAACATGTCGACTCCCTCTCTTGTCAACACTTCCCAGACGTAATCGCGGTAAGAGATTGGCCAGCTTGGCAGGTCCCAATACCGAGATTTGAGGCCTGACCACTTTGCAGTACTGATCTGCTTCCGTAGCTTTGCAAGTTGCTCATTACTGAAGCCGGTGCGGACTGATCCGATACTTTGTTGAAATGATACGGATGTGTAATAGGTGTCTTCCTCATGCCACAGCTGAGAGGTAAAGTAGCCATACTCATTGTACTGGCGCCAATTATCCTCGGGAAGTTGGTCCAACGGCGCGTCGAGGAAGGTGTCGTGATACTGATGATAGAGCTCATTCGTTGGCCAGTGGTTTATCATGCGATCTTCCATAAGGTTGCCCGTACCCACGACGGTCACAGGACCCGGCCATATATCTTGCCTGAGTCTGAAGCCTGGCTCGGTATTTATTACCTCGTAGCGTGTCAGGAAGAGCTTTCCCCGCAGGGATTCAAGCTGTCGCATTACCACTGGCCACGTCTTATACGGATCACTCTTGACATCCAGCAGCAAGACTATGGTGATGTTCGGTTGGCTTCGGAAAGCACCCTGCGGCCGATCTGTTCGGCTGAAGTTCGACCACTGCTCTGGAGGATTCATGGTATCGAGAATCTTCATTAAAGGATCAAGGTACATGGACCGCAAAGTTTTCTTGGTGGACAGTTCATGTCTGTCATGGCCAACAAGCACCTCGGAACCATCGTCGCTCAGCCAGATGTCCGCTTCCACGCCGGTACAGCCTGCTGCGAGGGCCGAGTAAAGAGGGTACGGCCTCCAGTAATCATTGTGAGAATGACACATGATGGGGATGACTGAGCGAGAAAAGTCCTCCAGCCATCTTGAGAGACCATCAACTGGCTGGCCATTCGTTGTGATCGGGTTGTTGGAGATGAAGTTTTGGGAAGCCGCGTCACTCAAAGCTTGAGGCTGTAGAACAAATACGAAGACATAGAACAAAGTGCTGCAGAAGAATGAGTTCCCTCCACGTCGGGTTGAAAGATGATGAGTTAGCAAAGAGAACCTACATGAGAATAGAACATGCGATAGTTGCTGCCACTCCCAAGAATAGAAGCTCTCGGAGGAGTGATGGCTTTCGCCGCCGGAGTCGATGTGCAGACCTGATGCACTTTTGCAGAACAGACTTCAAGCGATCTACCTCAATCAATTTTGTTGGCTCAGTTTGTGATGATCGCGAGCTGTCCATGGGGGGTCTCATCGTTGTGTTGTTACTACTGCCTGGCGAATGATCTTCCGCCGAATGCTCTGTCACTTGTTCTCTGGGAACCGAAACTTTGAACCGGTCCATAGCTCTGGCCAATTCACAGAAATGTCGTAGATGAATGTGTTACAATGCAGAATTGATTCGGCTAACCAAGGGGTTTCCAGTGCCTTTATCTTTGGAGTTTTGTTTGCCTTGGTCTAGGTAACACCAAAAGCTTAGCCACACAGTGGTTCCAAACCTCCAACCTCAATACGCCCCGGTTATTAATTAAAATTGGGAGAAGCAAACGGAAGTAATGTTGAAGCAAACGGCGATTTGAAACCCCGTTGTTGCCTTGTTTGCTCACTGCGCACAGTCGTTTTCGTCATCAGAGTCAACCTGGTGCATCGCCCGAGCTCTTCGTTGGACCCAAGCTTCACAGCCGATCTCTTCGTACTTTGGCTTCTCCCCTTCCTTGACGCAGGTGTCGATCACGCCGCAGCTTTCATGCAGGCCGAAGCCAAAGAAGAAGGGCATACTGATTCGCTCTTCTCCACTCAAGTTCTGGGCTCGATGTACTGTGCTGACGTAGAGATCATTTGTGATGCGCTGCAGGTAGTCGGCAATGTTGACGACAAACGTCCCAGGGATAGGTGCGGCCCTGATCCATTGCCCCTGGCGGTTTAGTACCTGCAAGCCCCCAACCGAGTCTTGCCATAGAATGGTAAAAAGCTGAAAGTCTGTGTGCGATCCTATGGAAACTGTCTTGTTGAAGTCTGAATCCACGGTGGCCGAGGAACTGAGAGGTGGGTAGTAGTTCAGCGCCAGCGCAGCATCAGGGTACGCGAATTTGGCATCAAAGTGATCCTCAGGTAGATCAAGCGATAGCGCAAAGGAGCGAACCAGGACGCGAGCGAGTTTCAAACAGGATTGCCAATATAGAATGATGGCTTCTTTGAAGTGCGGCTGATTGGCCGTGCCATCCCAGTGGAAGTCCTCAATACGCAAAAGCTTCCTCGCCTCCGCAGGAATAGCATTGACGTCGACCACATCAGGGTCGTGGCGAGGGTCGTACGTCCAGCTAAATGACTCGCGGACATCGACGCTCTCTGACTTGTTGATTCGCTGAGATCCAGGCGGTTTGTAGCCGTTGAAGTAGCGACTTTTCCCAACCCATGAGCGCATCTTTGTCTCTTCATCCTGGCGGAAGTACTCTAGGCAGGCCGTATGGGCTGAATCAGTGACTGAAGACGCGATGCCATGGTTGATCAGGTAGAAGAAGCCGGATGTCGTGGCAGCGTTGCGAATCTGCTGAGCTACAGTCTTGCGGTCCTTAAGTTCAGGGCTAAATGCGAGCGAGATATCGATGACTGGGATCTCTGCAGGAAGGGCATCGCGGAGCGGAGTCCGAAGGATGCGGCGGGTTACCGGTCCGTTCCCGGAGGCGAAACGCAGGAGGGTCGTCCCCGGATCAGATGCAAGATTTACAGCGCTCATTGGGGGCTAATTAATCATTGAAGACTTATTGGCGCTGGGAAACGGCTACGTCGAGTCAAGAGATGGTTTTATAAGATCAAGAGGATGATTCAGGCAATTCAACAGCTGAAATATGCGGGGCGATACAGGCGATAAGGAAATGGTAGACACAGAGGCGGGGGAACTGGGCTTCATGTCATTGGCTTGAGATGATGTTGCTGGTGATTATCGTCGGAGGTGGCCGACAAGCTCCAGTTCCTAATCCTTCAACCTTTGTGGGAGCACGTGGCAGCCCGATGTTATTGGGAATAGGTCGGTTGTTCATATGTCTACCTAAGTAGCGAAATTGGCCATGAGCTCGAAGCATGCCGGCCCGAGTTCGGCCACTTCCATGCAAGTTTGCGTTGCTCCCTCCAGTTGAAATGGTTGATTGATCATCTTATTCATTCGGTCAACATGCCTCACATCATGGTTTGGAAAAAAGTATGAGATCCTTCTCGACTTCTTCTAAAAGGCCTTTAGACAAGCTTGTCTCTGGCATGGAGAATAGAGAGCGTTCGATGGTTCATCTTACTCAGTGTCATTCTCCAGGTCTACCTACGCCTTAGCAGCCCATGTAAACAGCTAGTTAAGGACCAAAGATTAGTCCTCATCGTTTCGTACCACAAGCAAGAAAAGGGACGTAAGGGAGCAAACCATTGGCGTAAAGGGAATAATTATCAGCATTCTGCAGAGCCCGTTCCGGGGGTAATGCGACGCTGGCGTTGTAAGCGTAAGCGTAGTCATCCGCGTGAGGAGCATAAACTGCCTCGCAGTGCGTGGTTTCGTGGATCGTAGTCGTAGCTTGACACTGTCGGTGGCATCCTACGGGGAGTGGCGGCAGGCCAAAGAAGAGCGGGCACATAACCATTGTGTTGACGTCCCAGGCAGTGTAAGCGTTGAGAGGGCCGTCGAGCTCGCAAACGCCGTAGTAATCGTAACAGAAGTACCGAGACACTCCTGAAGTAGTTGAGCTACACTCCTGCGCGACGTTACGAAGCCGAGTGACGACAATATTGCGGGTTTCTGATGAGTTCGTGCCGAAATACTCGACAAACCGCTGAGAGGACGGGTCACCTGCATCCGCTGCGGCAGCGAGGGCGAGGGCCTGACAGTTGGCCAGGGCTTTGGTGCTGGTGTCCAACGTTGTCGCATTGCATCCTGGCTGTAGGTTGGTGCGCTCTTTCAGCGCCGCAGTTACCAATGACTTTGCGGCAGCGTCTGCATCAACGTCAACTTGGATGGTGTTCGACTTGAAAGCCACGGCAGGTTGAGAGAAGTCTGTAGACGACGCAAGTGCAATCGGGATTATGCCTTCAGCGGTGATAGAGTAGGTGCCAGATTGCGTAAACTGATGAACCTTTGCTGCGTCGATGGAGACCGTCACTGAACCCCCAGCTGGAAGCGACTCAAAATGAATTGCCTTCAGCGCATCGTACTGAATGCTCGGCTCAATGCCCCTAAACGAGACCGCGTTCCCTGCTGGCGCGTGAGCTACGGGCATTTCGTCGCCGTGGCGCTACTGACCTGACTCGTCAACGATGGACACACGCTGGACAGGAAGCTTGTCGTCCAAGATGGTGCCGACCTTGAGCAGGTTGAGATCTAAGCTGCCGGTGTTCTTGAAGGTGGCGGAAACCTCGGCGCCAGAGTCGGATACCACAGGTGTGAGGGTTACCTCCAGTGTTGAGTCCCGCTTGGAGTAACGGATACCGTGAGCGTTGAGATGACCGCTGGCGATGGCCGCCAAAGGCACGAATGCAAGGACCTTTCGCCACAACATCTTGAGAACTGCAGCGGCTCAAGATAGAAGCGAGGTTAACAGGAATCGTCACCACATGTGGTGCTGTGGTCTTTTTAAGCTGTCATTTGATATGAGATAGCTCAGAGCCCAAGAGCCCAAGGGCCCAAAAGCATATGCATCTCTGCAAATCCCCTTAATCAATCTTGGCTAGAAGCCCGTATCAATATGCATTGCCGGGATAGACAAGATATAAATGCTTTGACTTGGCAGCCAAAACTCGTATTCGACCAGGATTGAAATGTCGAAAATGGCAGGAGGTTTTGCCGGCATTCTCAAGGTAACATCGGCCCCTGAGGTGGGCCATGGCAGAACAGAACACAAAATGCTTCACGTTCCCATGACAGAGCGCGCGCAGAGAACTTGACATCTCCAGACTCAAAGTGACATGAATCATCAGACTTGATATTTTGGGCTGTGTGCCGAGTCGCGTTCCAATTGGCCTGACGGAGCAAAGCGTTGGGCTGTACGGAGACGGCGGCGAGGATCAAAAGCCGGTCGATGGGTTCCTTTTACTCGTAATTACGACTGTGTCAACGCAAGTATGTTGAACACTCAACCCTCTTGTCAAAAGCCTAGTATACTCTGAGCTGGATTAGTATAGAGCCGAAATGACCGGCTTAATGAGCCTCTGCGCCTATACTGTGTACTTGCAGATGACCAGGTGAACGAATGCCCGTCAACTCGCAACGTCACTCTCCCCACCGAAGTAGTTACAAAAGCAGCGGCCTCTTTACAGCGCTCTTTGTGCATGAGCCCCGAGGTGAACCGGCCGGAACGCGGAGATAAACCAACCCAACAGCCTGTGTCAGCCGGGGAGTGTCGGCCAACTTGTTCGTCCCATTCTCCACTTCCCCCACTGCATCAACATCGTGACAATTAGTGGGGTCGAGATTGTGGCTTCTTCAGTGTTTCTTAGTGCAGGATTGGCAGAATGGCTTGCTCACTGGTTTTCACATCCCTAGGGCGGATGATAATGCATCTGATTCTTCATGGCTGGTGCGGCCCGCGATTCCGCATCATTGCCATGAGTGATTTATCAGCCTCCAGATCTCATAAATACATCGACTGACCCCTTGACTGCTGTTCTCTCCTGTGCTCCATGCAAGCCTTACCAGCAACTTTCACTTTTGAACACACCATCTCCGACTCCGGAATGACTGCCGAGATCCCGACCCTTCGCTGGGGCATCATCGCCACCGGCCTGATCTCCTCATGGTTCGTCGAGGATCTGGTACTTGAACGCTCGAACGCGAGGGCCAAGCACGTTGTTCAGTCCATCGGATCATCATCACTTGAGAAGGGCAAGGCGTTTGTCGAGAAGCATCTCCCAGGGAAAACACCCACAGTTTATGGTAGCTATGCTGAGGTCTACAACGATCCTAACGTCGACGTCATCTATATCGGCACACCACACGCATTCCATAAGCAAAACTGCCTCGACGCCATCAACGCGGGCAAGCATGTACTATGCGAAAAGGCCTTCACCATCACAGCCAAGGAGGCGCGGGAGGTGTTTGAGGCCGCGAAGAAGAAGGGTGTTTTCGTCATGGAGGCAATGTGGACGCGTTTCTTCCCCCTCACAAGATCTCTCCTGAACGTCTTGCACTCGGAAAAGCTGATTGGCGATATTCACCGGGTCTTCTGCGACTTTGCCATGAACATGAACCTCGCATCTCTGGGTCCGGACTCGCGCCTGAAGAATCCGGCGCTAGGTGCAGGAAGTCTTCTCGACATTGGCGTGTACAGCTTGACCTTTACGATTCTGGGACTGGACCCCGGCGTTGGAGATAAAGCTGAAAAGCCCAAAATCTCGGCGACACAAACCCTCTCAGACGATATCGATATTGCAACATCGGCTCTTCTTCTCTACCCCAGTGGCAAGCAAGGTATCTTGACAGCTTCGACGCAGGTCAAGACACCACCAGGATTCTGCAGGATTGAGGGAAGCAACGGATACGTCATTGTCGAGGGCATCGCGACTTCAGTTCCCGGCTCTTTCACAGTGTACTCTTCCAAGGCTTCTGGCGAGGGGTGGGCCGACTCTGCGACGGAAGGTCTGAAGTCAAAAAAGTTTGACTTCGAGCGACCAGGTAAAGGCTTCTACTGGGAAGCGGACGCGGTGGCGCTGGATATTGCTGCTGGGCGCACAGAAAGCGAGATCATGCCCTGGGCAGAAACTGTCCGTGTCATGGAGATTTTGGATGAGATTAGGAGACAGGGCGGCGCCAAGTTCCCTCAAGATGATCAGTAAAGGACTTCGAGTGAAATGAAAGTAGTGGATATCACAAGAACCATCTTTGAAATGCACAAAGTCTTCCAAGTTTGTCATCATTACGCAGTTACCAGTAAGAGCTTTGACGGCGAACCTCAATAATAACTCCGGGATTCGTCTCTCGTCTACATCCTTTCTCTGAAGTTAGTCCAAGAACCTACTACCACGGACCGGCCTGCATAGACTAATAAGCCTCCGGCAAATACGACAGCAAGATAAAGTCCCGATAAGGCAGTCGGCCCAAGAGACTGCAGCATTTGACCGCCGATTGGCACTGTTAAGAGAAGCGAGAAGCTTATGACAAAGTTCATTGTCCCTAGGCTGGTCAGGAAACCAAGAGCTGTGGTAAAACTTGGTAGTAACGTACCATAGTATCTTCCATAGTCTTTCAGCTCACAAGTCTTCGCCACACAGGCTAGCACACCACAAGGTCAGTTAGCGATAGGATATAGCAACGTATGCAACAAGTTATCAACTCGAAGTGGATCAACTTACCAGGCGCAAGTGACAAGAATGATCCGGTGCCAAACCCCCATAAAGCCGAGAAAGCATACAAGGCTTCGATTCGAGTCGACCCAAACGCAGTAAGCGTTGCAGCGGTGCAGATGATCGTGAAAACAATCATGACCAGGAGGATGTTGTAATGTCCCAGGCGATCACCTACCACGCCAGGAAGAATACGCTCAAGAGACGAAACGCCGTTCAGGATAGCTAGCATGTTGAATCCATGCTCTATAGGAAGTCCCGATAAAGCCACCAAGGTTGGAAGAATTGCAGTTGCACCAAAGATGACGAACTCGAGAAGCGCTATGGCGCCGCAGATGAGCGAGAAAGGTAATGAATGGAAGGCAGAAAAGCCCATAACAGCCCTTTTCCTACTCCTTTTGGTAGACACTCTATCGGAAGCTATCATAGCATGCTACCTCTCGAAAGGAAGGAGGCAGGCAATGCCTGAGCTCAGTATAAGGACAGTCAGGAATCCCACTGCTCTCATAGACCATGCCCACCCCCATAGAGGGAATATCTGCCTTAGAACCAATGGGAAAATCATACCACCGGTAGAAGAGCTAGACAGAGCGATACCGAGTGCTAGCCCCTTACGACGATTGAAGAGTTTCCCAATTACAGCAATGCCTACAGTTGTAGCAATAGCATTACCAATGCCTCCCAGAACACCTAGGCAGAGGATGAACTGCCAAATCTTTGCGCATTCGGCGAGGACAAAGAACATCAGAACGAGTAGTCCTGTCGCGAGTGGTCCAAGAAACTTTGGGCCGTAAACGTCGATCAGCGGTCCTGCCTGGATACCGAGAAGCATCGTGAGAAAGCTGTAGACTCCTGTAATCCAGCCAACATCACGGGCAGAATAATCTCTCAGTTGGTTCTCTAAGAGAAATGACTGGACTGCTCCGGAAGATTGCATGAACCCTATGAAATTAGGCATTAGTGCCAGGTCTTCCCCGTTTTTAATGGATCTGGATGGTGTTCCGGGATTCGGGAATGCTCACCGAAAGATGGCATCAGAAATAGGAATGACCCGAGCACACAGACCCACGCCGACTTTCGACATTCGACGTCCACAGCATGGTGCCGGTGCGGTTCTTGTTGGGTCACATGGCTGTTTAGGGATGGTTGCTCCGAGAACTCTGGCTTCGTGGAGAGGAATTCGTGTGCTTGCGCTGAGGATGGCATGGTCAGGAAAATGTTCACGGCATCATGATATTCCATCAGACTAATACCATCTACCTTTATGTCAGTAAATAATGTGCTCTTGGCGCTGAAGAAGTCTGTCCCGGGTTTCTTGACCTCATTCGAGAAGGCTTTGCAACAGCGGAGTTGGCGGAGTTGGAGTGCATACTAAGCTGGCTCTAGATCAACATGGGCTGGCACCTTTGCCTCATTCGGCATTACTTCCAGCGTTTCCTTAAGAGGCCATGTCTAATGCGTGAGTCCTTAACCCCCACCTGATCAGTCAAAACCTCAGTCCTTCGGAATGGTTCGGAATGATTTACGCACTAATGTTCTTAGGCGTCGTCTGCTTAAACCGCTGGTTTCTCAGTCTTCGTAGCTTGCCCGTGGGTTTGCTGGCACCAACCATGCAACCAAGCCTTGAGTTGCGGACGACAAATACGCCAACATCTTCGACTGAGACTTTTTTTCCCACTGCTTAACAGAGCAAACTTGAGCAGACCGACTGCATACTAATGGCATTTGATCGTGGCTGTATCACATTCCTCTATTCAAATAGTTCCTGATTTGACTTGTACGAAATTCGTGCATCCTTGAGATGATGAGAGGTAGACCTCTTAGCAGGCCATCGCTCTATGCTAGCTCAACCTGCTTAACTTTGCCATCCTTCTTGGTCTCTTCATCCTCACCGCCCTCGATATCTTCGACTTTGGCATTTGTGGGCTTGCCCTCGAAGACTTCGCGGATCTCCTCCAGTGTGTGACCCTTTGTCTCGGGGAAAAGGAACCAAATCACAATGAACAAGACTCCCAGGACACAGCAAAACACTATATAGTACTTCCATGCGATCGCCTTCATTGCAATCGGGTTGACCTGATTGCCGATGATCAGACCAGTGAAGGCAGTAATGTAGGTGACCGACAAGCCGCGACCACGAAGGGTGTAAGGGAAAATCTCGACAGGGTAGGCTTGTAAGAGCGGCGTCCAAGCAATGTCGTAGAAGAAGTAAAAGATGAAGATGAAGGCTACAACTGCTCTCCCAGTTCCTTCGTCACGGCTGGCGACGAAGTGAGACGTCAACCCGGTCCATGCGATGTAACTCGCGAGCATGCCTGCCGTGGAGATCAGGAACAAGGGTCGTCGACCCAAGCGGTCTACCATGAGCGCTCCGAGGAAGGTCGAAATGATCCAGTTGAAGATTTGAAGCATTCCGTTGATCAAAGTCTGGTCCTTGACTTCAGTGATGCCGATAGTGTTAAGCACAAGACTCAAATAGTAGCTGACCACTGCGACTCCGTTCCACTGAGAGCTGAAGCCGACAATACAGGCAATCAGTGTTCGTTTTCGGTTGGCAGGGGTTCGCACGAGTTCGAGCCAAGATGATTGAGACATGGCTTCAGCCTCCTCGCCCAAAGTAAGTTCGACTTCGCGCATCTCAAAGTCGACCAGCGGGTCATTGAGGTTGCCACCAGCGTGACAGTCGGCAAAGACCTTTCTGGCTTCATCTTTACGACCACGGCGCATCAGCCAGCTACAGTAAGCGGTTAGTAAGACTAGAATGTGTACGGTCAAGATACTGGAAAGCCTTACCGAGGGGACTCGGGCAAGAAGTAGACACCCAGAAGCTGGATCACAGGAACTGCTCCTTGCAGCAGAGACGGGATTCGCCAGCTCCACGTAGACGCAATCTTGAAGGTTCCAAAAGTGCACCATGCAGCAAAAATGGAGCCAAAGTACTGCGCAAGATATATGTCAGCAAGTTTCCAAGACTGTTGGGGCCTTCTCGAAGATTCAACGTACAAAGAATGTGTTGTACAAAGCTGTGATTCGGCCTCGGTGGGTGGGGTAAGCCAATTCCGTGATAAGGATAGGGCTTGGCTGGCTGATGAAAGTTGTGAAGAAGCCTAGCAAAGCTCTTGCGACGACAAAGCTTGGAAGGTCCTTGGACATGCCTTGCAAGATGGCAAACCCGATACAGGCTGCCAAGCCCAGAACGAGAGGGAGCTTTCGACCGTATCTATCCGAAATGTACGTTACGACGAAGAGTGCTACAACTTTGCCGAGAGGGTAAACAGCATTCATCAGACCAAGAATGGCGCCTTCGGGGTTTCCAAAGAATTGGCGCCATTGAGGGAGGGTTTGAAGGCCGTTCATCATCGATCCTTTTCGCTCGTTAGTTAGGCAATTCACAAAGCTGGATCGAGAACTCATACCATCGTAACCGACAGACGCAGAAGAAAACAGAGGTACGAGCAGCAACAAATTCAACTTCAGTAGATGAGGTGTCAAATACCACGGCTTGGGATTTGCGGGTAGAACCTAGTTGTCGCGTGTCAGTAGCTTCTCACCTAGGAGAATCAAAAAGAAGGTTGCTTACAGCTGCAAGAGCCGACCCTGCGGCCAGCTCTGCTCCCGTCTTCTTAGAAAATACGCCCATTGTCAAGGTTGGTTTTTCTGCGCGATCTCTTGACTGTTGAAATTGTCACCGCTGGGATGTTGGTAAAGGTGTTTCAGGCTCCTGGTCGAAGCGACAAGGATGACTTAAACTCGAGAACAAGATGCGACGCCATGCTATTTATCTACCTCAGGAGAGCCATCGACAATTCAACCAACTCCAGGTTTTCCAGCCACCGCCTAGGGTCCAGGTCAGACCAGATTCTCGGTAGCTCTGCACGGCTTCATGACCCCGGTCCATCCCCATGGGGTAAACGCGGGACCGGAACTCGGGATGGGTGTTCTCAGGAAGTCGGAGGCCAGGGGAGTGTGCGGGGAAGAATGCATCGTCGCGGCGTGCAACATTTCGGGACGCGTCTTCGACCGAACTAGGTGACCTTAGATCTCGCACTAACAATATTGGCGTGGCTCCGATACTCCGCGGGCAACGGTCCTGTCTAAGCTGGTCTCGGGGAGTATCGGAGCCTGTCCACCTCCAGATGCTTTGACTTCTCCAATTATTTCGAATCATCATTGGATGGAGCTACCAAAGCAAAAGTGGTCTCAAATCCATCTTCAGGTGTCCAATGATGTTCGGGGCTCAACAATCCAGCTCAAGCTGACGTTGCTGGAGCTGTACCCACAGGAGCTTGACAAGATTACAAAAGCCATCACGAACGCCTCTCAACATCACAAGAGCAGGCATATCTGGAACAAGATAGACGGCGATAATCGTCCAGGTCTCGTATCTAGATTCATGTGCATTCTGCATTGAGAGGCCCTCAACGACTTTCCCCATACATCAAGAACGACGCCTAAGAACATGAGCTCCCAGCAGCAAACGCCCATCCTTAGGG